AGGGTCCATAGTACCCGGTATACAAAGTGTATATAGTACCCGGTATACAAAGTGTGCATAGTACCTGGTATACAAAGTGTACATAGTATCCGGTATACAAAGTGTACATATTACTTGGTATACAAAGTGTATATATTACGCGGTATACAAAGGGTCCATAGTACCCGGTATACAAAGTGTATATAGTATGTAGTATAGGAAAATTCCAACCCACCTGATATACAAAGTGTATATAGTACCTGGTACACAAAGTGTATATATTACTTGGTATACAAAGTGTATATAGTACGCGGTATACAAAGGGTCCATAGTACCCGGTATACAAAGTGTACATAGTACCTGGTATACAAAGTGTACATAGTACCTGGTATACAAAGTGTACATAGTACCTGGTATACAAAGTGTACATAGTACCTGGTATACAAAGTGTACATAGTACCTGGTATACAAAGTGTACATAGTACCTGGTATACAAAGTGTACATAGTACCTGGTATACAAAGTGTACATAGTACCTGGTATACAAAGTGTACATAGTACCTGGTATACAAAGTGTACATAGTACCTGGTATACAAAGTGTACATAGTACCTGGTATACAAAGTGTACATAGTACCTGGTATACAAAGTGTACATAGTACCTGGTATACAAAGTGTACATAGTACATGGTATACAAAGTGTATATAGTACCCGGTATACAAAGGGTCCATAGTACCCGGTATACAAAGTGTACATATTACTTGGTATACAAAGTGTGCATAGTACCTGGTATACAAAGTGTACATAGTACCCGGTATACAAAGTGTACATAGTACATGGTATACAAAGTGTATATAGTACGCGGTATACAAAGGGTCCATAGTACCCGGTATACAAAGTGTACATAGTACCCGGTATACAAAGTGTACATATAGTACCTGGTATACAAAGTGTACATAGTACCTGGTATACAAAGTGTACATAGTACCTGGTATACAAAGTGTACATAGTACCTGGTATACAAAGTGTACATAGTACCTGGTATACAAAGTGTACATAGTACCTGGTATACAAAGTGTACATAGTACCTGGTATACAAAGTGTACATAGTACCTGGTATACAAAGTGTACATAGTACCTGGTATACAAAGTGTACATAGTACCTGGTATACAAAGTGTACATAGTACCTGGTATACAAAGTGTACATAGTACCTGGTATACAAAGTGTACATAGTACCTGGTATACAAAGTGTACATAGTACCTGGTATACAAAGTGTACATAGTACCTGGTATACAAAGTGTACATAGTACCTGGTATACAAAGTGTACATAGTACCTGGTATACAAAGTGTACATAGTACCTGGTATACAAAGTGTACATAGTACCTGGTATACAAAGTGTACATAGTACCTGGTATACAAAGTGTACATAGTACCCGGTATACAAAGTGTACATAGTACCTGGTATACAAAGTGTACATAGTACCTGGTATACAAAGTGTACATAGTACCTGGTATACAAAGTGTACATAGTACCTGGTATACAAAGTGTACATAGTACCTGGTATACAAAGTGTACATAGTACCTGGTATACAAAGTGTACATAGTACCTGGTATACAAAGTGTACATAGTACCTGGTATACAAAGTGTACATAGTACCCGGTATACAAAGTGTACATAGTACCCGGTATACAAAGTGTACATATAGTACCTGGTATACAAAGTGTACATAGTACCTGGTATACAAAGTGTACATAGTACCTGGTATACAAAGTGTACATAGTACCTGGTATACAAAGTGTACATAGTACCTGGTATACAAAGTGTACATAGTACCTGGTATACAAAGTGTACATAGTACCTGGTATACAAAGTGTACATAGTACCTGGTATACAAAGTGTACATAGTACCTGGTATACAAAGTGTACATAGTACCTGGTATACAAAGTGTACATAGTACCTGGTATACAAAGTGTACATAGTACCTGGTATACAAAGTGTACATAGTACCTGGTATACAAAGTGTACATAGTACCTGGTATACAAAGTGTACATAGTACCTGGTATACAAAGTGTACATAGTACCTGGTATACAAAGTGTACATAGTACCTGGTATACAAAGTGTACATAGTACCTGGTATACAAAGTGTACATAGTACCTGGTATACAAAGTGTACATAGTACCTGGTATACAAAGTGTACATAGTACCTGGTATACAAAGTGTACATAGTACCTGGTATACAAAGTGTACATAGTACCTGGTATACAAAGTGTACATAGTACCTGGTATACAAAGTGTACATAGTACCTGGTATACAAAGTGTACATAGTACCTGGTATACAAAGTGTACATAGTACCTGGTATACAAAGTGTACATAGTACCTGGTATACAAAGTGTACATAGTACCTGGTATACAAAGTGTACATAGTACCTGGTATACAAAGTGTACATAGTACCTGGTATACAAAGTGTACATAGTACCTGGTATACAAAGTGTACATAGTACCTGGTATACAAAGTGTACATAGTACCTGGTATACAAAGTGTACATAGTACCTGGTATACAAAGTGTACATAGTATACAAAGTGTACATAGTACCCGGTATGCAGAGTGTACATAGTACCTGGTACACAAAGTGTACATAGTACCTGGTACACAAAGTGTACATAGTACCTGGTATACAAAGTGTACATAGTACCTGGTACACAAAGTGTACATAGTACCTGGTATACAAAGTGTACATAGTACCTGGTATACAAAGTGTACATAGTATACAAAGTGTACATAGTACCCGGTATGCAGAGTGTACATAGTACCTGGTACACAAAGTGTACATAGTACCTGGTACACAAAGTGTACATAGTACCTGGTATACAAAGTGTACATAGTACCTGGTACACAAAGTGTACATAGTACCTGGTACACAAAGTGTACATAGTACCTGGTATACAAAGTGTACATAGTATACAAAGTGTACATAGTACCCGGTATACAAAGTACCTGATATACAAAGTGTACATAGTACCTGGTAAACAAAGTATACATAGTACCCGGTATACAATGTGTACATAGTACCTTGTAAACAAAGTGTACATAGTACCCAGTATACAAAGCGTACATATTACCTGGTATACAAAGTGTACATATAGTACCTGATATACAAAGTGTACATAGTACCCAGTATACAAAGTGTACATAGTATATGGTATACAAAGTGTACATAGTACATGGTATACAAAGTGTACATAGTACCTGGTAAAGTCTGTTAGTTTCGTTCAGGTCAATAGTTCAACTTATAATTACACTTCATCTTGGTTTTACCGAACAACAGGTTTTTTTTTATTGTTTTTAGGGAAGACAACATTTCCATGTAGCGTATTCCATACACGCACAGCTCTCACAGTGAAGGAGATTCTCCTAGATGTTGAATTTAAATCATTGAAACTAACGGGCCTACATCCGCCATATCTTAATAACAAATATAAGTTGGTGTGTGTATCTTCTTTTTGCGTCGACCTGGATCGTTCTCTTTGTGCTTGGTTCGAATAGGTAAACACAAGCAAATGTTAATCTTTAATCTTGTTGCCGTCAGCCTCCTTACATGTATTCCTTGCTGTTCTGTCTATGTGGTCTCTGGTCTTTAGAATAAAATGTGTTTTTAAAAACAGCTTCTCAGTAACTTGGAAGTTACCTCCCATATTTCTTGTCGTTCTCTCCGTATGCTCTCTGTGCTTTGGAGTATATTGGTAAATGGACATCTCTTTCTCTCAGAAAGTACTAAAATCGTTGTGTCATTTCCTCATCCTTGTAATGTATTGTCATATTACGCGAGTATTCCCAAGTGATCCAGGGCGAACCAGCTAGTGATCGTGCATCAAATATACGAAGTTCAACTAAAATATTTACACTTGTTAGAGATCATGCACTGGACTCCGCTGTATCAAGCTCCGTAATAGGCAAATGACACATTAAGATATAATTTAAATCTATGATACTTTTATATTGAATTCATTCAATCGGATTTTAACAGTAGACAATCCAATGTATGGTCTTGGACTGTCTGTGACTTTATGGGTCAAAGGCTTCAACTATATATATCATGTGACTAAAAAAGATCATCCACGCCTTCGGATAATATACACAAAAATACTAAGACTCTTTCATGTGTCGGGTGTAGTATAGGAAAATTCCAACCATTGGGTTTTCAAATAGGGTAAAACCCCAGACTTGCCAAGGTATTTGCACTATTTGAAAATACAAAGGGTTGGTTTTCCTGTCCAGTGCATGAAAGAGCATTTTTCTCTCATTCGAATTATCACCAGAATTACCTCAGAAACCACAAAAAGGGGTTGTGATTTATCAATGTTTGTGATTCCGTGATGTCTCTGTTGTTCCATTACAGCATCACACACCCGAATTTGGGTCCCCCCCCCACCAAAAAAAAACCCACAAACAAACAAACTTTCACTGAAATTGTTATTAAGTTAAGAATCTTAATATTCCTAAACCTTGTGAATGTTAATGAATACTGGTACATATCAGTGTATCCCAGGGTAAATTCTGTTAACTCAAATAATAGCAACACCCTTTTACCAGTGTTTGTTGTTTTATTTCTATTTACAAATACATCAATGATAAGGATATTAACAAGTTTGTATAAAGAAAATCTAAATGAATATAAGTTTTGTCACAACCATGAGTCTATAACAATAAAAATGTCTACATTTATTCAACCTAAAATTCTTTAATGAAAAGCAGTCATAAGTTTTGTTAGGAATGACAACTCTTATTACTGCTGTACAAATTAAATGGTTTATATGGGCCGGCTCTGAGCATGTGAATCAATGCTGACAGGTACCACTTGTTATGCATGCCAGACTTACCTCCCCTGATTTGCAGAGGAGTACAGGGTGATAGTTGCTATGGAAACTGAGTCAATGTATCAATAAAATATATTTATGTGAATTTTTGACCAAGGTTGTATCAGAAATATTGTTCACTTTTTTAAAAGAAAAAAAGACAGTAAAAACGTGGTAATCGTTTTCCATAAGACACCCTGGTTAAATGAGATTGTTTGATAGAAATGATGAAGAGTCAGTGTATCACAGACCAGGAAGTGACACAGAAGCTCAAACTCAAAGTCAGCCGATATTCTTATTGCTTTAAATAACCACAAAATGGTGGACAAGTATAATAGTCAATATTTCATGAAATCTACTACCACATAACTTTTAATGGCACCCACAATTAAACATGATAGAAATGATATTATCAAACGTTAACCGTGATATACATATATTCTAGGAATGCATACAACACACAGGAGTGTACAACTCTCCACCAGCCCGACAACCAGGGCTCGCAGTTTGTATGTTTACTAGGAAAACATAGATTGGGCTAGTACTAGTAGATTTTACAACATCTGCCATTGGGCTACTACTTTATATATGAAATTGAACACCCCTGAGACACTATGATTTTACATAAAAAATGTACTCTGTTGACAAAACAATTTAAATGCGATTAGGATGTGTTTTTTCTACATGATAATCACTACACACAGTTGTATTACTGGCGCATCATATATAGATAGGAAATATCAAATTTTGATGATGTAGCCAAATTGTGTATGAAGAAAGTAGCTGTTAATGTGGACTGCAGTGCTGACATGGTTTTACTGAACAGATTTAAACTAAACCATTATCTAGATATATCCTTTTTCTTCAATCTTCCCCATCACACTGAAATAATATCTTGACATCTACTACACAACTCATGGTGTATTAAAAATCTAAGAACCATTATGTCTTACGTATATAAAGTAATAAGGAACCTACCATTTTCATTCAATATTTTATATTTTCAAAATTTACGTAGATAACAAAAGTGTTTAAAATTTACCAGGTATATTTGTCGTCATTCTGATAGATATTAATAATGTTTATATATCAGTATTTCACTAGGTGCTTGATTATATAAAAATTTCTCATCCATTCATTTTCATTTCACAGGAGATTTACATATATTCTTCACTCAAATGTAAACTTTTTAAAATCATGAATCACATATACAATGATGACTAATTTTAACCAATCCTACAAATAATCGTGTACAATGCCACTCTGTGATTGCCCGACGGCTGATCTACACTAGGACCACAACCTGGTCATCATAGTTCTAAAATTATGCAGATGTAAATTATGAAAAAGTTTTAAATTCATTTACAGAACAAGCAATCAATTCCTGTTACAACCATTCCATTTTTCCAGGTTAACATCACGGCTACAACTTTTCCTATGAATCAGGGGTATATACTGTCCAGTGTCTATGATGTGTGTTAATGCGTCCGTAGGTGACAGCACTGTTCACGGTGTCTGACGCTTCCTTGCTGATCTCTGCTTGTCAAACCGTGCTTCCATCTCCTCCAGTACTCGGGGGGTGTATCTCACCACCAGACGAGCCATACCTGTAAACAAGCACACACATTAGGTATAAACGTTTACCATACTAAACACCATTAGCAAGACTCATCTTCTTGGTATATCAATATTTGAATTGCTATTTCTTTCTCTGACAGTACAGAGTTTTACACCCTTTCTTTTAAATAGAACCCATCACTTGTCAATGGCTCGGATGTTTATTTCACATAATGCAATATTACAGAAAATATCTAAAAACAGGAAATATATCAGTATATGATATAACTGAAAATATATAACAAAGCATGTATAACAATACTACACTAATAGATAACAATGACTACAGAACTGTGATTGAACAACAGTCAATATAACGAACCCTTGGCTAATTTTAGGAGCTCCACAGCCTTCTCATGATGCTCTCCCTCCACACTCTGAAATAATAAACAGAATATAAGAAAACTTCCACAGAATATCAGAAAACTTCCACAGAATATCAGAAAACTTCCACAGGATATCAGAAAACTTCCACAGAATATCAGAAAACTTCCAATTTCCATTTTTGACTTAAAAAGAAAAAATATTACTATTACATCTACAAAGTGTTATGTACCAGTATACCAAACTCTGATAGCTTTCACCGATTCTTGATAAAGCATCTTGTGGAGGCAAGATGTAAGTAAAATGTTCCATCTGAGTAAATATTCAAGTACTCATGATGTTCAACCTACCACTCCATTGACAGACAATAACTGGTCCCCACGTTTAAGTCCACCGTGGCGGTCTGCCACACCGTCGGGAATTATTCTCGAGATGTAGATAGGAGAGTTCTGCTCCTTGCCCCCCATCACATTGAAGCCAAGCCCTTCATCTGTTTTTGGAAGTTCTACGACTCGAGGGTGGGAGTGACCTTCACTTGCTGCAAAAGCAGCCACTGTAGCCTGCAAAAGATGAACATCAGATGGTAATTTTCTGATAGTTAATACAACATTGTGGTGTTAGTACAATATTTAGTAGATACTACACAATGAACATTATCTTATATCTGTCTGTTCAGCAGCTATACAAACCTACCTCAGTCAGCCTAGCATAATAAGGCTATAACCAGGGCGTTCAGTGCAATTTCCGAAGTAAAAAAGGATGTTGCCTGAAATCTGGAGGGTCAAAACACATGTCTAATAGACATTTCCTTACAAACCCAAGAGTCAATACTCATTTTGGGAGTCAAAAACATACTCTCCAGGGCCTTCTGAAAGCCCTGTTATAACTCTGGCATACTCAAACATCACTCACTGGACACAGAGTAAACTTACACCAAGTGCAGTTCTTCAATTATTCTAATGTGTTATCTTGTAACCATATGTTAGGCTTTGCATTTACTCATTTACCCCTGAAAGTTCATAATGAGCTATTCCAACCTTTGAGTTGGAAGAGTTCAAATGTGTCTTCAGGGGTGAATGAGTTAATGAGATTGATGTTACTGAGAAGGGGGATGATATATCATGTCATCCAATGATCTCTTTTTTGTATTAAATATGATTATGATTAGTTTATATAATGGCACAAAAATTGATTACTTTTGTTGAGGTGTCAAGTATCCTTTCTTATCTATGATGATAAAAAATAGAAATTAAGAAATTAATGTATGCATTTGTTAATTTTTCTTAAAGTGCACATACATCTAAATGTCATCTTTGAAGTTTCATCAACAGCATTGACCCTTGTATATTGACAGTCTGTTATGTACACCATGACCGTTCAACTTGTCCAATACTAAAGATTTCTCATAAACAAGTTTCAGACCTTGGCTTTATCACTGATCCTCATTTTCATTAAATCAGCCATTTCTTACCTTGGCTGTAGCATTGGCCCGCACTTCAGCATTGCCGGTTATGTCGACGGTCTCGTACACATGTTCGTACACCTCCCGCACGGCATTGAGGAAGTCACTCTGCAGGACCTTCTGTAGAGCTGCCAACTTCTGAGGGGGTACCTGGCCACCTAAGAATCACCAAACAGGGGACAGCATTGTTAGGGTAGTTCAAAATAGATTTAACAGTATTTCAGCAGTGAGAAATAATTCTATTTTTTACTACTTTTTAGTTCTTTTTTATATAAATTGCGATATACTCCCAGTGTATATTGTACTTGATTTGAAAAGTCTGTCATTATCATTAATTGGCATTTTCTTAAACATGTAAACCGAAGTTATACATAACAACAGTCTGTTACAGCTGTTTATTATAACGGAAGTTACATATTTTATAGCATATTAAATACAGATACACATACTTTTTTGTAAAGCGTCCAACAGATCAACTGCTCGGTTGATATCTGAAAATACAAAATTACATGGTATTTAATACATTTAATCATATTTCATAGACTTTACCCTTCAGTCAGCTCCAGACTTTTCATAGTTTCCAGTAACTGTAATGTTAAAACATTAAATTTATAATGTTATATAAATCACCGTACATGACTTTAGGTATAGGTTTTGTTTTACAGTTTAATGGGACTGAGTGGGGGAGTAACATTTCCGTGAGGAAGTTTCTTTGACTTGGTAAACTAGCAGGACCACTTCCATGCATTCATTGCAAAATCTGTAGAAACAACAAACGAAGAAGACATGTACATCAACATTCAGCTGACATAACGGTTGAACAAATGCTTACCTGCTCTCCAACATTCAGATTTTATTTCTAAAAATTAATGGAGTCTAAATACCTTTACCGAAATATGTTGAGTTCCAGATTCGGGGAGGCAACCGACTGTTTTTTGAAAGTGAACAGATGAAAGGGAGGGGTCGATACAGCATTACTGAAATAGTTTTACTGTTCTGAACCACGTACTTAAGTTTAAAACTGCATGTGCATTATTGCTTATTCTAAAGATATATAGAAATGTAACCTTTTGCAACAAGAAGGCAAACAAATGAGGGTTTTTACATTTACCTTTTTCCAAATGCAAAGGTTCTGCTACCGACGCCATATTGATGATCTCACAACACTTCCGGGGTTTTCATAAGAGTGGTCTCCCCTGCACTAGTGAACCAGTTAACACTTGAACTGAGAACAGTATTAAGTAAAAGCTCTTTTTTTTACAAAATTATCTATGTATTGCACACTAATTTGATTACGATTTTTTCTTGCGTTCAAAAGCAGATTTCATTTGTTTTAAAATTGCATGTTCAATAGTAGATCCACAGAGACCCGATAACATGTTACAGCTAAATAAATCATAAGAAATCTCAGGAAATAACAATTACTGAATAATATTTTCTAAATACGTTAAAAATATATTAGGATATTGATAAAGAGGCAGAGTGTATGCCTGCATCCATTATTTATCCTATTGTATGCTATTGTAAAAGTGTGGACCTAAACTAAAGTATACACAGTATTTTTACACGTTTTATGGGTTTAGATCAACTTTCGGTAAAAATACCATCCCAATTATGATATATACCATCATTGGGATGGCATTTATACCGAAAGGTGATATAAATCCCAAAAACTTGTAAATTAACTTTGAACAGGTAACAGTTGTTTGCAAATCTACGTAGTTTTTAATAAAAAAAAATACTTCAAATTACATAAGTGTCATGACACTTGTTTTTGTTTGCTTTTCTATTTTATATAATGTACACTTTGTATTTCAAGGTATTGTCAAACATTTGAATACAATAAAGTTTTAACAAACACATTAGTTTAGGTCCAAACATAGCTGTAACAACTTCTTAAGTCCCGGTGTGTAGAACTAGGCCTATATTAGTAACAGACTAAACATTACTATGGAGATGGGCCGTCAAAAAAAAAGAGATTTAACGCAAAAGGAAACATATGGATAGTGGTACTACAATAAGGATTTCGTTTGGCAGTTTACGATTCCTTTGGGTGAATCTTCCTTTTAATAATTTGTGACTCACAATGAATCCATGTCTCACTGCAGGTCGTACACAACACTAGACAAGTCCATTGTATTTGTTCGTAGGTTAACATCCTTTCGTTCAGGATATAACTGAAGAATGTCTCTTATACTTCATTCACCAGGTAGTTCATGATCAGTTGTTTAGGTCTAATCTAATTTCCTGCGAAAATATAAAATAACTGTTTTGAAATAATTAATAAAGAAATGGTTTTTTTTAATGTTTTGTTTAGCATCTTCAGCAGATATCTTTATTGGTCAGTGCTTTTTTAAAGAGTGCTCGTTTTAGTTATTGTCCAATATCTGGGTCGATCTGGGATGCGAAAAATAATGTAATGTCCAAATTCGAATCCCACTTCTGACACTATCTAGACATTTTATTTTACATTTCTCTGACGTTAAACAGTTCAAATAATTATTTCATATGTTTCCACCTCTATTAATGATTAAAGTCATTATAGAAATATTGACAACGTATTAGAGTAACTTGTTAACGCAGAGCAGATATCAAATACAAGATATCGGAAATATCCAATTAAAAAAAATATTATCATGGTCTTATAGATAAGGAAAGGTTAAGAGGAAATTGGATAATTATTGAAGTTACTCCACTGTTTTTATCAGTATTTTTTTTTACTGAAATTCCCAAGCGGGGAATCGAACCCCGGCCGCCGCCATGAACCATTAGACCACTTTGGACAGGGAGAGCGCTGGTCGGCGATGGATAGCAATTCTCGTTAGGATAATAATGAGTTCGCGTGTCAGTAGTATTGATTACATCGCTTCCTTTGTTATGTAATAGTGGTATAGTGTATATTATGACTGTACGTTTAACTACCATGGTTATTAGAAACAGATAACATATTTGTAATTGAAATCATAAGGTTGTCTGGATTAGTAGCAGCAAGTTGTAGTTCTTGGGTACAATTGATATGGTTATTTTTTTGTTCTTCGGTGTCGGCCACTTAGAGGACACAGAAGAAACAAAGATCGATCTGCTGCCCTAATTACAACACTCGGCCATGCGATAACATCTTGCCCTACTTCCCTGCTCTTTCTTTTCGGTAATGTCTCCATGTGAAGATTGATTAATTCTTTTTTACCTTAAACCTTGCGGTTTATCAGTACAGTACGTATATACAGTGCAAATTAAATACAACACTCCGACCATTCATACATGATAAAATTAAAGCGATATCGTAGCCATAGTCACCCGTCCTTATATGACCCTAGCTGTTGTGTCTCCCTAAACACCCGTATCCATACGACATTAGCTGTTGTGTATCCCAGACACCCGTCCTCATATGACCCTAGCTGTTGTCCCTAAACACCCGTGTCCATACAACATTAGCTGTTGTGTCTCCCTAGACACCAGTCCTCATATGACCTTAGCTGTTTTGTCTCCAATAGACACCAGTCCTCATATGACCTTACTGTTTTGTCTCCCTAGACATCCGTCCTGATATGACCTTAGCTATTTTGTCTCCCTAGACACCAGTCCTCATATGACCTTAGCTGTTGTGTCTCCCTAGACACCCGTCCTCATATGACCTTAGCTGCTAGGTATATGTTACATCACGTGTACTAAATATCTACAAGTACTAGGTACATGTTACATCACGTGTACTAAATATCTACAAGTACTAGGCATATGTTACATACTAAATATCTACAAGTACCACGTATATGTTACATCACGTGTACTAAATATCTACAAGCACTAGGTATATGTTACATCACGTGTACTAAATACCTACAAGTACTAGGTATATGTTACATACTAAATATCTACAAGTGCCACGTATATGTTACATCACGTGTACTAAATATCTACAAGTACTAGGTACATGTTACATCACGTGTACTAAATATCTACAAGTACTAGGTATATGTAACATACTAAATATCTACAAGTACTAGGTATATGTTACATACTAAATATCTACAAGTACTAGGTATATGTTACATACCAATAATATCTACAAGTACTAGGTATATTTTACATCACGTGTACTAAATATCTACAAGTACTAGGTATAAGTTACATCACGTGTACTAAATACCTACAAGTACTAGGTATATATTACATACCAATAATATCTACAAGTACTAGGAATATGTTACATCACGTGTACAAAATATCTACAAGTACTAGATATATGTTACATCACGTGTACAAAATATCTACAAGTACTAGGAATATGTAACATACTAAATATCTACAGGTACTAGGTATATGTAACATACTAAATATCTACAGGTACTAGGTATATGTAACATACTAAATATCTACAGGTACTAGGTATATGTAACATACTAAATATCTACAAGGACTAGGTATATTTTACATCACGTGTACTAAATACCTACAAGTACTAGGTATATATTACATACCAATAATATCTACAAGTACTAGGGATATGTTACATACTAAATATATACAAGTACTAGGTATATGATACATCACGTGTACTAAATCTCTACAAGTACTAGGGATATGTTACATACTAAATATATACAAGTACTAGGTATATGTAACATACTAAATATCTACAGGTACTAGGTATATGTAACATACTAAATATCTACAGGTACTAGGTATATGTAACATACTAAATATCTACAGGTACTAGGTATATGTAACATACTAAATATCTACAGGTACTAGGTATATGTAACATACTAAATATCTACAAGTACGAGGTATATGTAACATACTAAATATCTACAGGTACTAGGTATATGTAACATACTAAATATCTACAAGGACTAGGTATATTTTACATCACGTGTACTAAATCTCTACAAGTACTAGGTATAAGTTACATCACGTGTACTAAATATCTACAATTACTAGGTATATGTTACATGCTAAATGTCTACAAGTACTACGTATATGTTACATCACGTGTACTTAATATCTACAAGTACTAGGGATATGTTACATACTAAATATCGACAAGTACTAGGTATATGTTACATCACGGGTACTAAATATCTACAAGTACCACGTATATGTTACATCACGTGTACTTAATATCTACAAGTACTAGGTAAATGTTACATCACGTGTACTTAATATCTACAAGTACTAGGTGTATGTTACATACTAAATATCTACAAGGACTAGGTATATGTAACATACTAAATATCTACAGGTACTAGGTATATGTAACATACTAAATATCTACAGGTACTAGGTATATGTAACATACTAAATATCTACAAGCACTAGGAATATGTTACATACTAAATGTCTACGAGTACTAGGTATATGTTACACCACGTGTACTAAATATCTAGAGGTACTAGGTATATGTTACACCACGTGTACTAAATATCTACAAGTACTAGGTATATGTTACATCACGTGCACTAAATATCGACAAGTGCTAGGTATATTTGAATTGTGCTGGCGATCCTTACAACTAGCTATAATTATAGTGAGCCGCGCAAAGATCTTATATTATTATTCTAGCGTGAACTCGTAACCATCGATAAACCATTGTAGTCATGTCCCAAGTGGTCTAGTGGTTAGGATTCCGCGCTCTCACCGCGGCGGCCGGGGTTCGATTCCCCGCTTGGGAATTTTATTTTTCATATATATTGTTTTTATTAAAAAAAAAGAGTCGAGAATCTGTTTATATATTCAAAAAATCAACAAGCAGGACTTGTGTATTTTGTTTGCTAGCGCTAATATAAATTCTTCTCAAATAATCTTTTTAATTCATGCTATATTATATGTATGTATATACTGAACCATGGTTTCTTTGTTTGTGAGCATGTGGCATGAATCTTTTGTGCAGCATCAATTTTAATATGTTTTTTTTTATATATACTTTGTTCTGTACGTGCCAAGTTGTTTTGATTACTGCATGCTGTGATTTATTTTTTTCTTGTCTGTGTGTGTATAAATAAACCTTGCTATATGCCTGTTGTTTTCTTCATGTTGTCTACAAGTATCCAGTTTTTATATCTTTGTTTGTCGTAATTCTTTCCATCTTCGCTAGCCAAATGTTCGCTTCGTATAAACTTGACGTATACGAAGCAAACACTCGGCTAGCGAAGATGGTATCTTTCCGCATCTATTGTTGCATATCCTTATCCTTGTTG